GCTTAAATATATTTTCATTATGGCTTTCTGCTTACTTTATTTCCATTTGTCCTTCACTGCCATGTAAATGCAACATTACTGTATTTTACTGCGTTTGTGACAGTCCATTTCAGCTGTTTTTCATTAGCTCATTTTCAGTAACTTCTTTTGTATTGTTTTCTTTATATTTATCCCTTTGGTTATCTATATCTGTTCATTTCACATCTGCTTAAATATATTTTCATTATGGCTTTCTGCTTATTTAGTTGAGTAGCTCCCACCTTCCCCAAGTACCTTTCCATGTCTCTCTTCCCATGATTTACCTTTTTTCACAATAGCTTTTAAAACTATATGATGAATGTCATTTTGTTTTCATCTAAGTTCTTTTCATATCATCATGTAGCCTATTTGAATTTGAAATTTTTTTCTTATAATCAGATATCAAAAAAACAGAAAGTAATAAACATTTTGTTTATACAGAATTTTCAAAGGATAGAACCTATTTTTCAGTCATTCTCTCGATTACTTCAAAATATTACTGTAATTCCCATGTGTGTACATTAATGGTCATGTCTTCCAAGGCTCAGTTGTATAAGATGTGAGACATATCAGTCACCTACCCTTCAACAAAGCACAGGGGGCTTGCTGAGAACTTAATTCTGAAAAATGAACAATAATTATCCATTTTTTCAAAGATATTTTTGTTCTCATCTTTGCCCTCTTTGTTTTTTATGGTATGTGTGCAAGGCATAGATTAAAAGGTAATCATTTTTATTCACTTTGCAGGACAAGTCTTGGGGACTAGATAAAATGGGCAGGAACATTTAATCCTCTGCTTCAAAGACTATGTGCATGGACAGTTACAAGGCAGTTATGGCCAGATATGATTATCGGCTTTGGAATAAAATGCTCCTTGACATTGCTTATATCTTAGCTGAGAAGAGAGACAATCAGGTTAGTTATTTTGTAGGGTACAGATATGATGAGTTCCAGAGCTTCATAAGTGATCAGAGTGGTCTTATTAGTAGTACTTAATAATGTTTTCCAAATGTCCCATTTTCTTGTTGTGAATTAAATGTGCCCCTATTATCAGTGTTAATGCATTGCATTTAATTGTATACTTTCACTACATTTTTATTAAAAGTTTTTATCATTCTTTAGTTCTTCAGGTCCGTTTATTCCACAGTTATAGGAATAAATAATATTACTTTTCCATTGGAGATAAACTCACTCTTTTGGAATGCTTTTCACCATTAAATTGAAACAGACTGTTAACAATTACATTTTATATTATAGTTTTCTTATTTTTCTCTTCTCTTAATTGAAATTTTAAAACATACTGTCCTGTTTATTTGACCTATTTTAATAAAGAAGTTTTACATTGCAGTACACTTTTCATTAACCATTAGTCTTCAGAATTAAGTGCCCTTATTTCTGTAAAAAATAGCTGTCCCAGTGGACATAGTAGAACATAGTTTTTGGGTTTAATTTATATAAGAAATGTTTTGTCATAATTATTGTGGTGGATTTACACACTGGGAATACTTTTTCTAATTTGATGATATTTTCCTATTTTATGAGAAAACATTTTCTTTTTGTCAAGGTCAAAAAAAAATTTTGTTTTGCTACTTCATTGTTTGGTATTATGAAAATAGTTTCACTCTCAAAGAGTCTATTTTTCAGGATTATAGTTATTTTAGACATTTACTTTTAAAAGTTTAGTAATACCTTATAATTTGCTGATGTCAAATTTTTGTTAGAGAAGAATTTTCAGAATGAGTAATGTTGGTGTTTTATTTTTGTGTTATTTTCTCATCTGCCTAATTTTCTGTGATGTTACAAATATATTAATACTATCTACCTCTACTTATAAGGTAAAAATGCTAATTTGAAAAAAAGGGTGTTAATAATACAAAAGTTATATTAATAATGGCATGGTGATTGATTCTATTCTTTTTATTTATTTATTTATCCTAAAATGAATTTGGGAAAAATTAGAAAATGTGGTCAAGATCATTATGTGAGGCCAGTCTTCACTGGTAGTTAACAATAAGCCACTCTCAGACTCTTGAGGGAGTAAACATTTCTTTGTACCTTATTGTTTAACATTATTATGTTGACATATGGTTGAGTTTATATCGACATATGGTTCATTACTGATTAATATGTCTTACAAAATCAGTATCTCTAGACTTTTTCTCTGGTGAAAGATATATGAAATTGCTTTGTTTTTTTAATCATAGGCTGAAAATCATTTTTTCTCAGAAAATTGACATCTGTCTTTGGCCTTCAGTTGCTAAAACCATATGACATAATGGTTGATAAAATGGGTTCTGGAGTGACTCTCTTCATGCATGTCCATCTCTGCCTTTTACTGGTTGTGTAACCTTGGACAAGTCCTTAACTTATCTGGTCTCACTTTCTTTATATGCAAAGTGGGAAAGATAATGATAGCTACCTCTTATTAAAAGACATTAGGAGCACTTGGGACAGTGCCTGGCATTTAGTAAGCTGCTGTGCTATTATTCAGTAATGACAAGAAAGGCTAATAGTATTTGCCAGTGTTTTTCTTCATTCATGTTTTTACTCAGAATTTATTGAGTACTTTATTTTAGAAATAATAGACATGGCAAAGGGACAAATCACAAATAAACAAA